CTAGACCTCTCCATTGCTGCTTGTTCTGTCTCCTGCCACCACTGTGGCCTTGTCTACACTGCTGTGGGCCACTAACCTACGTTACACAACTTCAGCTCCAAGAATAACACAGCTGCTCTGGACACACTTAGGTCTGCTTGCACTGTAAGTCAAGAGCTGCAGCTCTCCCGCGGACTCTCCCCATTTTGGTGCAGTACCGGAGCCAACAGGAGAGCGCCCGTTCGTCCATTTATCGTGGCTGTACTCGGTGTGATGAGCCAGCCCTGCTCTACGCCGTTATCGAAATAGCTGATGAAGATATTGACCAGAACCGGGCCCCAACTGCCCCCTGCAGAAGCCCACTCCTTACTCCCTTCCGGTATGACTGTGAACCATTGAGAACTGCTCTGGGAAGAGTTGTCCCACCAGCTAGGCACCCACCTTCCAGCAGAGGGGCATGGACGACTGTACCAAATGCCGGAGTCTGGCTATACTAGGGATGTTAAGTATCAGTTCATTGAATAGTTGAGGTTGTAGTCCCTGAGGGCAGGACCAGCAGCCGGTACGCTCCAGCCCCACTCCCGAGGCGCCCCTGCCACTCGCACGGCTCTCTCTCTAGCAGAGGCAGCAGGGGGGTGCCAGGCGGGAGCTGGTCTGCGAGGGGAGCCAGTTTCAAACCAGCTCCCCTCATGGACTGGCTGCCTGTCGCCTGTGCAGCTGCTTCTGGTACAGAGGCAGCAGCGCAGGGTGACAGAAGCCCGTCTGGAGTGGGATCTGAGCTCCTGGACCTGGTGCAAGCTGGAACTGAGCCAGGCTGCCTGCCCACCCAGCTCCTAATACACTTTAAATGCAAAGTCACAGTAGGGTAGGTCCCGGACCCATCGCACGCCAGAACTGAGCCAGGCTGCTGGCCAGCCTGCTAAAAAATCTACTGGTGGGGGGAGGCGGAAATGCATGTAGCCTATAGCATTAACCTATAAGCTTTTGCTAATTGGTTAATCGACTGCACTATTACACCCCTAAGGTATACCACATCTGCTGCTTCCTCCTGAGCCACAAGGCTTGTTATCCTAGCAAAGAAATCCATCAGGTTGATCTGAGATTTGTTCTTGACATGTCAATAGCTGGCTGTTACTTATCACCTTATTATCTTCCAGAGGTTTGCAGGTGGATTCCTTAATTACTTGCTCCATTATCTTTCCTGGCACAGAAGTTAAACCGACTGGTCTGTAGTTTCCTGGGTTGTTCTTATTTCCCTTTTTATAGATGGGCACTAGATTTGCCCTTTTCCCGTCTTCTGGAATCTCTCCAGGACATTTCAAAGACGATAGCTAAAGGCGCAGATACCTGCTCTGTCAGCTCCTTGAGTATTCTAGGATGCATTTCATCAGGCTGTCGTGACTTGAAGACATCTCACTTTTCTAAGTCATTTTTAACCTGTTCTTTTCCTATCTTAACTTCTGAACCTGCCTCCTTTTCGTCAGAATTCACTATGGTAGGCATCCAATCACCACCAGCCTTCTTGGTGACAACCGACACAAAGGAAGTTGTTACGCACCTCTTCCATTTCCACAATTTCTGTTATTGTTTTCCCCTCTTCACTGAGCAATGGGCCTACCCTGTCCTTGGGCTTCCTCTTGCTTCTAATATATTTATGGAAACTTTTTTTTTGTTACCCTTCTTTATGTCTCTAAACTAGACTGAGCTTGTTTTGTGCCTTTGCCTTTCTAATCTTGCCCCTGCACACTTGTTATTTGCTTACATTCATCCTTTGTACTTTGACCTAATTTCCACTTTTTATAGGGCTCCTTTTTTCTTGTAGATCATTCAAGACCCCCTGGTTAAGCCAAGGTGGTCTGTTGCCAGACTCCCCATCTTTCCTGCGCAGTGGAATAGTGTGCTCTTGCACCCTTAATAATATCCCCTTGAAAAATGTGTCACTTGGGTTAAGCCCAAAAACATGAACCTGGCCTCAGCCAGAATGAATGGAGCATGTGAATACAGGGTCGTCTTTCCTGGGCTCCCCAAAGTAGCTGTTCCATTCGAGCAGCAATCTATAACTGCAGTAGGAGACGCTATTTCCATGTATGACATGGGGGTGTAACATGAAAGTAGCAAGTCTCTTCCTTTACACATTAAAGACATCTGTCTACATAGTGTTAATTGTGTCCAGACCAGGAAGAAAGCCTTCCAAAAATGCTTTAATGCTTATCTGGATCCTTCAAAAATTAATCTCTGCACTTTTTTCAGCAGGTCTGTTATTAGCTTTATTGGCAGTCGCCAAGTTAAACGGGGCACCAAATGGTGGCGCAATATCATTGACGGGTTTGGAGGTGGGGGCGCCAATTGCATGGGTCGCCTAGGGAGCCAGTTGCTAGTCTAGGGCTGCCCCTGTTGGCAGTAAATACTACTATCGGCTTTTCTTTCCACCCCCACACACCAAAAAAAAGCTCAGACTATATTCATTACACGGAGGCAATCCAGCATGAACTTTTTCACTCTTTGTGAAACATGAAGTGTGTTTCAGATTCATTCTAAGCAATAGGCAATGGGGAAAATAAAAGTGAAAGAGGTTAGCAGGGTAACTCTTCTGAAAAGACACTTACTTTCTGGCTTTGTGTTTTTTCCCCTCGCTCAACGCTATGGCAGCTAGATTTACCCTTGAAAACAAAAATCCAGTTTACAGGTATTCTTGGGAGGCAGGAAAAGTGCTCTTAATTATTTGCTTTATTTTCTCCTCTTCACACAGTTCGAGTCAGGCTGTTGGGTTATTTTATTTCTTTGGTTCTCAAGGGTTCTCTTCAGGAGTCTGTAGAGACTTGCTGGAAAACTTCATAAAACCTAAGTCAGGGGGTATTTGGCAGCTCCTTTAGGGGTGAAACGCATCCAGTTATGCAGGTGGCAAACAATAAGCTAGTGTGCGATTGGCCCGGGCTCTGCATAGCCGCGTTCGCCCCTTGTCCTCTTTCCCCTTCTGACCTGTCCCAAGGAAGGAAGGGGAATTCCAGGGTGTGTGAATTGCAGCCTCGTGTTGACACAGCGCGGGGAGGATCACGATGTTTCCAGGGGATCCAACGCCTCAGCCAGATTGAGAGTGGTGGGGGGGGGCTGCGCTGGGGGGCACGGAGCGCTAGAGGCTGTGTGGGTGCAGGAGGGGAAGAGTCTGAAAAGGGGGGCTGGTT